CTAAAGGTAACTGAAGATTGTAATTGCTTTTGGGAGGAGGGGAAGGCCCGCCTATTGACATGTAAAACCCTAAGATGCTTTAACTAGAACTGCAGTCCCAACTGTAATAAACTTGGTTTTCAGATCTAGATGCCATACTTGATTTTGTCCCTGTTCTATATCATTTGCTTTTTATTCTCTATCAGTCTTTTGGCCCATTCTTAACTATTGTCTGAACCACTTGTTTGGCACTCATCACTTTGACTGTAGAAATCCATTCATTAAACTGGTTTGTTTTATGCCATTGTCTGATACTGGAGGTATAAAGATGAATTGGACCAAGTTTCTAAGGAATTGGTCTAGTTCAGAAAATGTGAGGAAATACCTGGCCAGAAGCTTGGTAACTAAGGTGCCACTCAGTCTGGATATCCTCAGAGATGCTAATTGTCTGCCTGAGTTTATGGAGCACTGATTTTTCAGTCTGAGTTGTATCTTGGCTCAAATCCAGCTTCAAGTTGGGAAGAGTAGCCACTGAAAAATAGGATATAAAAGATTTGCCTCAAAGGACAAGGTGTTTTGTTAGCTCCACCCTCAAGAAATAAAAGCACTAGATGAGGGTCTGTTAAGGTTTCCATTTACTGTCTTAGAAGGGAGTGGAAAGTGGTCCAGCAGTCACAGTAACCTTATTTCTTCTCTCACATAATTATTTTTCTTATTCTTTCTCTGTTTCCTAGTAGTGATCAGCAGCAAAGCCAATGAATAGAAGGGAACTTAAATATTATTATTCTTGGGGCTAGCAAAAATGGGAGATGCTGGGGTGACTGTGCCCCTGTTCAACCAAGATCTAGTGACAGGGGACCTCAAAGGCTGTTGTGGGGTGTGGAAGCCAAGAAGAGAGGAAAATAGTTTGTATATCTGGGATGTGCCTAGAGAAGAGAGTTAGGAGCTGTCTTGGGCCTAAGTAGAAGACCCTGTGAGATGTGCTTGATCAGGAGACCAACAAAACTGGCCGTGATAGTATAGCTGGGACAAATATGGGAAAGTTGAAAAGAGGGGAGCCTGACTTAGCCTGGGTTGGGAGAGATTAGAAAATGTTTTTAAGAGAAAGTGACCCTCAATCTGAGTCCTAAAGGACAGATTAACTAGGCAAAGAGTGGTTTCTTGAAGAGAGATGATATCATGAGCATAACAGAAGGGAGACATTGGGGAACTGCAGTTAGGTTGATACAGCTGGAGTGAAAGGAGTTTGTTGAAACCAGGCAGGAGATGATGTTGGGACATGAGGGCAGAGCAGGGGCCCTTGCACCACACTGAGGCATGTGTGGGTGGTGCACTTTACCTCCTTAATTAGATCCTTGGGGACAGGCACTCTGGTACTGTGGTAGCTGATACACAGTAGATGCTTGGTAAATGTTGGTAATTTTTAATCCATGGGACTTGTATACTAGACAGTCTCATTTTGAAAAGGGAGCCAAACCAACTCAAGTTTAATAAAGGGGGAGGCTTTTTTTTTCTGCTGTGACAAGGGGTCCATTTGTCATCCATGGTGTAAGGGGTGGGGATGGGGGTATCCTAAGCATTAGATAATGATCTCCCAGAAGTCCAGGGAGGCTGAACTAAGCCAGAGAGATGGTAGCATTAGTAACAAAATCAAACTTTTCTCTCTACTTTCTCTGCTCATCTGCTCTCTTCTCTTTCCCTTTACTGGCCTTCTCTGCTTTTGCTCATTGTCTTTGTTCCCTTATGGCTTTTCTTGCATGGGGCCCATATGGCTGCCCCAGCTCCTGAACCTGTTATCTTTCATCTACTAGATGAAATGCTCAGGGAAGAATCTGCTCATATTTTTGAGCAACACTTCCCTGAGACATAGGTTTTTGGCCATGCTATAATGCCCTTTGGTCAGGTGCTTTTCCTAGTTGTGTCTTGCCAGGATAGGGATGGGAGGTTCATGGCATAGGGTGTGACCACTTGATTATATATCCTACAGCTAGGGCTGTGAAGTGGGTGGAACAGGTGCCCCAACATAAGACTAAGACTCTAATATTTTTTGGGTTCTTATTATATGCTAGGCACTGGGGGTGCCTGTCCCCAAGGATCTAATTAGTGAGCAAAAAACAAACTACAAATACAGAATACTCTACAACATGTTTCTGTATCTGGGTAGGATAATATGTGAACTATAATTAGAGCATTTCTAGTATCATTCTTGAGAATTGCCTAACTTCATTTGACTATACATATGGTTATTGGGGCCAGAAGGATGATTTTGGAGAATATTTATGATGAGTTAATGGTCCAGCTCTAGAATAAATGGCATTCTTTTTTTTTTTTTTTATCACTTGAAATGTTTTTATTTAAAAATATGTTGCTGATCATGAATTAAAAGAGTGACAATGAAATCACTTTTAGGTTCTTATAAGAACAAGAACTTGTTTTTTCTCAAGATGAAAAATTTTACATAAATCTTAAATAACTATGACAAAATTGTGACAGGAGCAACGTTTTTAGATGACACTAAACAAGTGGTCTCAGAAAATTATTGACTACATTTACACAAGTAATCATCTTAATGAGTTTTGGGGTTTTTTTGTTGTTGTTTTTTTTTATTTCGGCATATTATGGGGGTACAGATTTTAAGGTTTCAGTAAATGCCCATTTCCCCCCCTCCCCCCAAAAGTCTGAGTCTCCATCATGACCATCCCCCAGATGGTGCACATCTCACTCATTATGTATGTATATACCCGCCCCCCGCCCCTCCCACCTGCCCAATACCCTAAAATGGCATTCTTATTATCTTTGTGGACTCACTTTCCATTTATCTCTTTGTCTCCATCCAGTGAATTTTAGGTGTACCTGAAAGCCTTAGGGGTGGTTTAAAACATTTAGAAAGATAATGCTGGTGGAAGGATGGTTAGAGGGTAAGAGATTTGTGTCAGGGAGACCATTTAGGAATTTATTGTAATGATCTAAATAATCAGGAGAAGAGAGCCTGAACTAAAGCAGTGATGATAGTAAGGATGGATAGGAGAAATGGTAAGAAGGAAACGTAGCAGTATAGATAAGTACGTTTTTAACCTTCATTTGAAATGCCAAAGCAGTTATTTAATCCAGAAACTCCTCTCATTATTGACTATATTTTTGACAAAGAAAATCCCTTAAACTCTTTACCTTAAACAATCCCTTTAACTGCATTTTTGTGTGGCTTATTAGAAAACTAACAGTGCTTCTTAGAGTTCACAAGTTAGCTGATGAGTGTTTCATTTTTGTTTAATTCTCCTAATTTGCCTGCTTTTATTTCTTTGCCCATCTCTCATCTCACATGCATCTCATAGCCTGTATTTACATTGGTAGTTGGTGGCGGCTTTGTTAGGTAAGTAAGAATCGACTTAGTCATGGAATGGTATTGTTTTGTCTTCCCATTTAGCTTGAAAGATGATGACAGTGGGGACCATGATCAAAATGAAGAAAACAGCACACAGAAAGATGGTGAGAAGGAAAAAACGGAAAGAGACAAGAATCAGAACAGCAGCAAAAGGAAGGTGAGTTTTGCACTGCACAGATGTAGTTTCCTTTGGACTTGAGACTTCATTATCATGTAGAATCTGTTAATCTGGAAGATACTAAATTAACTTGCTGGTATCCTGTTTTGGAATATCTGAATTTGTTCTCAAAATAAGATTTTGGAATCACTGCAGTTCATTTTGGGACTTAAAACTTTTCTCTTGCCTCAAGATCTTGAGGTGTTGCCTTGCTTGCAGCATTCTTCTAGTTTGAGATGGGGGAGATTAACGCTGGAGTTTAACAAAGCTGTTAGCTGCTTCATAAGTTGCTGTAGAGTATTTCAAATCCTACAAATTTTAGATTTTTTCAGTCAGTAACAGTCTAAGTTGAAAGGGACTTGGAAAAGAAAATTGGAGAATGAGGGAAAGATCTGTTTTTCCTTGAAATATCAAAGAATCATTAATTCATTTATTCCACAATATTTAATACTCTCGAAGTGTAAGCATTTTATGCTAGGTGCTAAGAGGACACAAAGGGGAATGAAACTGTGGCTCAGGGAGCTTACATTTAATAGTAATAATAATAGTTGACCTTTACTGAGCACTTGCTCTGTGGTAGGCACTATGCTAAGCATTTAATATCCACTAATTGATTTGATCCTCTCAACAGCCCTGTGAGGTGTTTATTATTTTCCCCATTTTGCAGGTAAAAAGCTGAGGCACAAACAGGTTAAACAACTTGCCAGTAAGTGATAAGAGTGTCGTAGAAGAGGCAGTACTTGGATTGGGCATATGCTAAGATAAGATGCAAACATAAATACCTATTATTATATGAGGGAGTAAGTTATAAAAGCCATAAGAACACAGAGAAAGTGTTATGGGAATTTAGAATCAGTTAACCATTAAGGAAATATACTGTATAAGCAGAATCTTGGGCATATTGCAGGTGATTGAGGTTGTATCTTTTTTTAATTGTGAAGGTAGGAAGGACTGACGCTGTAAAATGTTCTCTCAGTCTCAGAGCACGTGATGAATGCCCAGGATTAATACACATTCTTTACTTCCCAGGCTGTTGTCCCTGGACCAGCAGAGCATCCCCTTCAGTACAACTACACTTTCTGGTACTCCAGGAGAACGCCCGGCCGTCCTACCAGCTCGCAGAGCTATGAACAGAATATCAAACAGATTGGCACCTTTGCCTCTGTGAGTACTTAGTGGTTTAATGGAGTGTGCCTTGATGGTACATTTGTGCCTGTATTTGTATCATAATATTTATTTACTCTCTTGGTGTAACCTATTTAAGATTATGGTTTCCTTAATTGACTCACCTGAGTCCCAAGATCAGATTTGTTCATTCTTTGGTTTCTCACTAGACATTGATAGTTGACATGTAAGTGTCAAGTATGAGAATTGTGGAATTGATAGAAGGGCAATGTTACAAAAGTACAGGTTTGTTTTTCTTTTTTTGCTTAACACCAGTCAAAAAGGACTTAGCTTCTCATGGCTAAGGTTTAAGTCCTTCTTCTTAGCTTGAAAAATTTCTCCTTGCCCCTCCTTCATAATCCTGTTAGAAAACTAGACTTATATTTTTCTATCAAATGTATGCTTATTTATATTCATCATAGGAATCCTATTTCTCTTGTTAGTGTCTTTTTTTTTTTTTTTTTGAGACAGAGTCTCACTCTGTTGCCCTGGCTAGAGTGCCGTGGCATCAGCCTAGTTCACAGCAACCTCAAACCCCTGGGCTCAAGCAATCCTTCTGCCTCAGCCTCCTCACTAGCTGGGACTATAGCCATGAGCCACCATGCCCGGCTAATTTTTTCTATTTTTGGTAGAGACGGGGTCTTGCTCTTGCTCAGGCTGGTCTCGAACTCCTGAGCTCAAACGAACTGCCCGCC